AACCCGCTCCCGCAGCCCGGCCCGTGGCAGGCCCAGCTCCGCGCCCGCCTCGCGTCCACCTGGAGGGAGGCCGGGGCTCCTCGGGCCTCCCAGGCCCCTTCCCCTCCCGGCCTGCGTCTGCCCTGCTGCCGGCCGAGCGACCCCAGCCCGTTGCGTTGCTCTCGCTGGGTTCCCGGGCGGCCTAATCCAGGGAGAACCGAGTTGACCCTTTTTCGCTGCCTCTCCCCAGGCCTCTCTCCGCATTGCTCGTGCCGGGTCATCACAGAGGTATTTGGGGGGGGGGTAATAAATACCTGCAGGTGTTTTGGTGTGTAGGGGCGACCTGACAGGAGAACTCCTAAGAATGTAGTTTGGTATTTGTTGCTCAGCAGCACGGCTGCCTTAGCCTTAAATGGACTCCTCTCACTTAGAAAGGTGGTGCATTCCCCCGTGATAGACACCAACACTTTGTTGTTGGTTTGTCTCCAGTGAGGTGAGCTGGAAGGTACATAGAAATAGCAAAACAAACATTCACTGTTGAATGGGTCTGTCCAGGTCCTGGCAAGCTCAGGAAGGCCGTCACAGGGGGTGACAATGCCCCCCGGGCACTGCGGAACTTAGGGTGCTGCTTGGGACTTAGGAGTCGGTTGAACTTGCGGGCTCTCCAGCTCACAATTGTACCCGGTGTTGGTCCCTCAGCTGTTACTTCTCACTCTTTTCGGAAGGCTGGGCACCTATTTCTTCTCCAAACAACTTCATTATTTTGGCCATCCTGTGTTAGCTTGTAATGTGTACTCAGCGAGAGTGCCTGCCTGCGTTAAAACTAATTGTGTTTAGAAATGCACTGGATTTTACCTACTGTCCAAGGAGCATCATCTCACCACCACCCTGTGACCAGAGGGAGCAAGAAAGAATTAGCCCACATGTGAACTCCCCTGTCACAGCTGAGGCTGTACTAGTCCTGTTTGGCCCCATGCAGGGCAGAGCAAGCCTCACCCAGTAGGGACCCTTGGGCCACCTGGAGGCTGGGTGCAGAGCATCTCTGTGGGAGGGAGGAGGAACACTCATGTAGGAACTAATTTTGCAGGCCAGGTAGACAGGTAGAGAAAGAGCTACATAGTCTCATTAGGAGCAGATTGACTCTTCTTCCAGACTTTTCCTAATCTAATGCTGAAATCAGTGTCTAATGTATAAACACACTGTCATCTCAATAAAGGCATTAGAAATATTGGAAAATATTTTCATATAATAGAGAGCTTTCTGTGAAGTTCTTTACTGTCTCTATCTTGTTCAAGCTACTGTCTTGGTAATTTTAATTGTATAGCTGAATGATTACTTCTTTCATCAAGATTAGCTTCCATTCTGTGACATTAATGTATCTTGTCACTAGCAATTACTGCTCACAATTTAAACTTTCCAAGGCAGGGACAAAGAGAGCAAGCTCCAGGAATATATTACATGTAGGATGATCTTTTTATTTTTTTATTTTAAACTTTTTTTTTTTGGGTCCAGTCGTGGGGCCTGAACTCTGGGCCTGGGGGCTGTCCCTCAGCTCTTCAACTCAAGGCTAGCGCTCTACCACTTGAGCCACAGCGCCACTTCCGGCTTTTCTCTTTTTGCTTATGTGGTGCTGAGGAATCTAACCCAGGGCCTCAGGCATGCAAGGCAAGCGCTCTACCACTTAGCCATCTTCCCAGCCCCATGTAGGATGATCTTATAGTCATTTTTACCTGTCTTCTAAATAGAACAAATCAATAAAACCTAGTAGGTGCTGGGCACTGGTGCCTCACCCTTGTAATCCTAGCTACTCGGGAGGCTAAGATCTGAGGATTTTGGTTTGAAGCCAGGCCAGGCAGGAAAGTCTGTGAACCCTGATCTCTAATTAACCACCAAAAAGCTTGAAGTGGAGCTATGGTTTCAGTAGTAAAGCTAGCCTTGAGCACAAAAGCTCAGAGACAGCAACCAGGCTTAGCAAAAACAACAACAACAACAAACAAGCAAAGTAGCATGTTGGAATGAAATCTTCTAGATTAGAAATTATCGTGATGTAAATGAAGTCTAAGTTGGAGTCCAGAGAAGAAGGCTGGTGTAGCATGTGACTGTCTTTTGTTTTTAAAACCGCCTCACAGAAATATGCTTTCTCGTGGACCTAGGACACTTTCAGGTGTGTATGTCCCTACTACATACCATGTACCTGAGATTTCTGTTCTGTTTCATTTTTTAGAGAATGCTGTTATCTATTTATATTCATTTTATAATAACCTACTGCACTTAATTTTTATGTATTTCTTTTTGGATATGGGGTCCTATATGTAGCTCAGGCTGTCCTCAAACTTGTGAACCTCTTGCCTCAGACTCCCAAGTGCTAGGATTACAGGTGTAATCTCAGTTTAATGTACTACATTTGGAAAACCTCTGGTTCTAGGGAATCCAGGACCCTGGCCGATTATTTATGTGGGGAGGAACAGAGAAAACTACTGGCCTGCAAGCTGGCTTTAGAGGCCATTAGAGAGCCAGATTGCCTGAAGGGAGGAGCCCTGGGGGGTGGGGGGGGGATGGAGAGAGAATGAACAAAAATGATGGGGTATAGGATATCCACCATCCTAAGAAGTGAGGAGAAGACCCTCTGGAGCTTCTAGTTTTGGATATCCAGGCTAAGCTGTTACTTTTGTTTCTGGAATCAGTTACCTCCATGGCAACTGATGCTGGCGAAATGCTGCAAGGATAGATCCTCTGCCATTGAACTCTTTCTGCCTCCCTGGAGCCCTTGCTGGGTTTGTGGTTGTGAATGACTGCAAAGGGCTTCCAGATCAGGCTGCACGTGACTGTGCTCCAAGCTCCTGTGGCCCCACACTCATCCCTTGAATAGAATCATCTTGACCACAGCCTTGTATGATTGATTTCTCTTGTTGGCTGTGGGCTTCCTGAATGCTCCTTCCTCTGGCTCTTGTCTTGTTAGCATGTGGTCCCAGTTTAGGTGTGATTTCTCCTGGGAAGGTGTTCTTGGTACCCCTTGGCTCTTCCCTTCCCTTGGGCTTCCTCAGCACTTGCTTAGTGTCTGTAGTCTTGGTCTTCACTGCCTAGCTATTTTCTGGATTCTGTCTGGATTCTGCCTGGTATAGTGCTGTGTGCTTGGTAGTTTGCGTGTTGAGGAAACAAATGGCTGGAGTCCTGAGTTCTGACCATCCTGCATGGGGGCTAAGGGGTGAGGCTGGTGAGGTAGCTGTCCTACAAGATTTGCATGATGGCCTCTCTCTGTCTTTTGAAGGTGATTAGGATGACTGGCTTCATGAAGGGCCTTTACACAGATGCCGAGATGAAGTCAGACAATGTCAAGGTAGGTTTGAGTGTGGGATCCTCTCCACATCTCTGGTTTATAGACTGCGTCTTGTGGCATGTATTGTTTATATGCTGATAGATGTTTAGCATACAAGACTGATTAATTTGTGAGCTGATGTATACCCTTTTCATTTAGTTTTTTTTTTTGTTTGTGGTATCTGCATGCCATGCTAAATTTATCTACTGAAAAACAGACTTAGAACAGGGTGCTCATGGCTCATGCCTATAATCTCAGCTACCCAAGAAGCTGAGATCTGAGAATCGTGGTTTGAAACCAGCCTAGGAAGAAAAGTTTGTTTAGATTCCATCTCCAAATAACCAGCCAAAAGTTGGGCTAGAGGTGTAGCTCAAGTGGTAGTGAGCTAGCCTAGCTAGCATGAGGCTCTGAGTTCAAACCCCACTATTGCTAAAAATAAAAACAAAAACAAACAAAAAACCTAACCAAAACTGATAGCTAGCCTGTAATGCTAGCATATGGAGGCTGACATCTGAGGATGGTGGGTTGAGCCAGCCTGGGCAGAAAAGTCTGTGAGACTCTTATCTCCAGCAAACTACTCAGAAAAGGTTGGAAGTGGCACTGTGCCTCAAGTGGTAGAGCACTGGCCTTGAACAAAGCTCAGGGCCAGTTCCCACGCCCTGAGTTCAAGTCCCAGAGCCTGCAAAACACAAAACAAAGCAAAAATATTGGAGAAAAACAAAACAAAAAACCCTGCAGACTTAGACAGATTGGAGAAAAACAAAACAAAACAAAAACCCTGCAGACTTAGACAGATGTAGTGGCACAGCCCATAATCTTAGCACTTAGGAGGCTGAGATAGGAGAATCAAGAGTTTGAATTCAGCCTGAGCTATGTAGCAAGACCTTTCCTCAAAAATCAAACAGAACAGCCAAAAACAGAATTAGTATTTTAAAGGTTAATACCGGCTCATCAAAACTTTTAGTAAGTAGTTCTTGTTGTGTTACCAAAGGTCAGTGTTTTTAAAATTGTCATCCATTTCTATTAAGAGGATACGTTCTGTGCCCATGGAACATACCGAGCATAATGCAGACTCTCAAGTATTTTAATGTGTATATTTCATACAATCTGAAGAAAAATCATGTTGATAATATGTATATTTTAAATGGAAACATTTCAGGATAAAGATGCAAAAATTAGCTTCTTACAGAAGGCCATAGACGTGGTTGTGATGGTTTCAGGAGAGCCCTTGTCAGTCAAACCAGCCCGCATTGTGATGGGAATTGAGCCTGAAAGAACAAATGAACTGCTTCAGACAATTGGAAAGTGCTGTCTCAACAAGGTAAGGCTGCAGGCAAGTCCACTGCACACACCCTTCCCAGCTGAGGGGCAGCACTCAGGGAGGAATGAAGGAATGTCTCTGGCAGGTTGAGGAACTTTTCTTCCACCTATTCTCCAGCCTTTTAAAGGTCTGGGAGACTTTTTATCCATTTGTAAAGGTGTGAGAAAATGTTGAGGTGTGCTATGCACGTGGGAACGTGGACTTTCCAGAACTTGTTTTCCGCCTGCTGGCTGGAAGCTGCCTTGCTCCTTTCTCCTTCTGGGTCTGGGGCTCCTTTGAGGACAGGCTGTTCCACTGGGGCTGGGGAACAGAGGCGCTGCTCATCTTCCTTGGGGTTCTCTTCTTCTCCTGCCTAGACTCCCTGCCTCTCTTGTTGCTGGTAAAGAGCTGGGCCACCTTCAAAGGCTCCCAGAGAGTAGATTTGTTCCTTCTGTGCCCTCTCTGTGGACTGGAAACGTGGGTGCCAGGCCTCAGCCTCCTGGTTAGCCCAGCCTGGGCTTCATTTGCCTGGATGTTGGAAGACATCATCCTGATGGCAAGCCAAGTAGTCCCCTTAGGGGCCTTCACCAGGAGTGTGATTGACACAGCCCGACGTGTGCCTGCTGGAGCCTCGGCTTAGATGTGTCCAAATGGGTGCAGGTGTGGTGTGGGGTGTGTAGTGAGTGGTCAGATTAGCTTCAGAAGGTCTCAAGAGAGCCTTGCTGTCATCTAGGTCCAGATCCGGGTGTTGATTTTACCAGTATGCTAGTCCCTGTCCCTAGCCTCCCATCCCCTCATTCTTTAAGTGGCTTCTCTTTCTGAAAGGCAGATTGGACTCTGATTTTCCCTACTGTATCATTTGCTGGTCCCACCTCTGGCTCATGGCCTCTGGAGACCCACTGGTGCTTCTTTCAGGTTCTGCCCTTACCCTGCACACCCACTCCACTTCATTCTGCTCTACTCAACTCCATTCAGCTCCACTCCACCTTACCCAGCTCCACCCTATTCTACACACTCCATCCACTGCCCTACCTCTCACCCATTCTACTCAGTTCCTCCCCATTCCACTCCAGTCATTGCACCCACCTGACCTTTGCACTGGGCATTCTCCCTCACTTTACACCCTTGTCTCAGTGCCCACTGATTTCTCCAGGCCTGGCTGCCTGCCTCCTCCAGCTTCACCTGCCAGCTCTGTGGAATCTGTGAGGTTTGCTGATGGCTGGGGCCCTTCTTCCCTTCCAGTCTCCAGAGCGTGTGGCTGTCTACTAGTGTTTGTCTCCTCCAGTTGTCAACTTGTCCTGGATCCTTACAGCTGGTGCTGGTGTGTAGTAACTTGTGCACCTTTGTGGAAAGGATGAGTTGATGAGCAGGGCTGCTGACAAGATGTTCTTAGCACCCTGAACCACCTGAGTATTTGTCAGGCATGTTGCAGAAGGACTTTAGGCATTTGATGAGGCTTAAACTGAATCATATCCACCTCCCTGCCTTTTAATTGTGTTAAAATTCACATAACTAAATCTTGTGGTGTGTAACATGTCCATAGTGGTACACAACTGCCACTACCATCTATTGCCAGAATTGTTTTTATCCTGCAAAATTGAGATTCCATACCTTTGAAGAAAACTGTCCCAGCACTTGGTAACCACCCTTTTCTTTCTGTCACTGTAAGTTTGACTACCCCAGGTACCTCATACAAGTGGTAGTATCTGTCCTTTTATAAGATTGGCTTATTTCACTAGCATTTTATCTTCAAAGTTGACCTGCATTTTAGCATACCAGGATTGCTCCCTTCTTCAAGGTTGCCAATATTCTCTTGTGGGGGCAGACCATGTTTTGCTGATACATGAATTTATGAGTGGATGCTGGGTTGGTTGCTTCCATTTTTTACCTATCCAAGCTAATCCTGCCATAAACATTGTATGGAAATCAGACCAGTTTTCATTTTCTTTGTGTATAAATGCAGAGCAAAATTGCTAATTCATACAGGTAATTCTGTGTCTGAACTTCTGAGGAACTGCTATCCTGCTTTCTTTAGCAACTGCACCATTTTAGATTCCTTCCACACCAGTTCTTATACTTCTTTTTTGTAGTGGCTTCCTAGTGGATGTGAGGTCATTGGATCATATCTTAAGGCCCTTCAGCTGAGCTTCTGTGATCCCATTAGCAATAGAAAATTTTTGTAGAGCTCTCTGAGTCAGCTTTGTTACCCTTGAACCATCCACTCACATATCCACTCGTAGAGATAGACTAGGCCCATATGCCCACTCACATATCCACTTGTAGAGATGAACTGGGACCATACATCTACACATAGAGATGAACTGGGACCACGCATCTACTCACATATCCACTCAGAGATGTACTGGAACTCATCAGCTGGGTAGAGATGACCTGGGACTTCTCAGCTGGGTGGATCCTTGTTCATGTGCTAGCAAGAGCTGCTGTGCTTTGTCTGGGATAACACTTTCTTGTAAAAAAAATATCATGGTAAACAGAAAATCTGTTTAGTGAACTACTTTAAATGCCATATTCATTTGTTACATATTACTCTTACTTTCACCTTGCGTTTCATTGGCTTGCATTTGGACAACCAGCTGTCTAGTGACGATGCAGTGAAGAGGGTTTTAGCTGGAGAAAAGGCGGACATGAGAGGAAGAGCCCCAAGGGCCTCTAAGTCTCAGGAGCCGGACAATAAGAATGTGAAGGAGGAAGAGTCCAGAGCGCATAAAGAGGTGAGCTGCAGGCTGCACATCTTCAAATACTGAGCCCTTTATCTAGGAGACAAAATGCACACGTGATGTGTATGTACTTTTTTTTTTTTTTTTTTAGGATAAAAGAAACTCTGAAATGAAGGATGGAAGTACAAGCAGAGAGGGAAAACATAAGGAAGAACTGAAAGAAGAAACCAAATCCAGGGAGAAGGATAGGGACAAGGAGAAGAGCAAGGAGAATGGCAGAGACCGACATGAGGATCCCGACAAGGACAAATACCGAGAAGGGGAGAGAGAGAAAAGCAGAAACAGGGCCAAGCAGGACAGAGACAGGGACAAAGACCGAGGGCACAAGGATCGGGACCGCGATGCAGACCGGGAGAAAGAGAGAGAGAGGAGGAGTGAGGGAGGGAAAGAAAAAGAGAGGTTGAAAGACAGGGACCGAGAACGTGACCGGGACAAGGGAAAAGACCGGGAGCGACGGAGAGTGAAAAACGGGGAGCACGCCAAGGACCACGAGCGTGACAAGAACAGAGAACAGGACAAACTGGAGAAAAAGGTAAGTACAGATTCAGACACTGACTTAGAAAGACCCTGGCTGTTTCCTTATTTTTGTTGTTTTGTCCTGGGACTTGAACTCAGGGCTTGGGAACTATCCCTGAACTTTTTTTTTTTTTTTTTTTTGGTCCAGTCGTGGGGCCTGAACTCTGGGCCTGGGCGCTGTCCCTCAGTTCAAGGCTAGTGCTCCACCACTTGAGCCACAGGGCCACTTCCGACTTTTTTCTTTTTGCTTATGTGGTGCTGAGGAATCAAACCCAGGGCCTCAGGCATGCAAGGCAAGCGCTCTACCACTGAGCCACCTTCCTAGCCCCTAAAGAATGACTCTTTTTACAGCATTTGCTTCCTGCAAAATTTTTGAGCTTAAGTATGTTTTATCTTTCTCAAATTTTAGCAGATT